GAAAATCCTATACTCACTAGCTGCTGTAGGCTGAATGGTGCCTCCTTCAAAAAGCCATCCATTCCTATTACCTTGAACATGTGAATGATACCTTATATGGAAAAAAAAGATTGCAGGCATAATTCTATGAAGGATGTTGAGATGGAGAAATGATCCTAGTTAGACTTTTAGTAATGTGGTGTATGACGTAGGGGAAGGAGAAGTTCTACTATTAGATCTTAATCTTTTAGAAGCCTGTGTCCTTGAACTGTGAACTTCACCATTGTGTCTCAGTTGATCCTCCACCCACGTGGAACAAGATGGCAGGGGGCAGGGGCTGGATATTTTCCTTACTTGACATGGCAGGCTAAAGTGAGCTAGAGCTCCTCATTTAAGATGGTTTGACTTAGGAGTTTTGACTTTGCAATGATATGAAAATGGCATATGTCCAACAGAAATTCAGATTTTGGATTTCAGTCTTTTCCATGACTAGCCACAAATAATGCAATATTCTCTTAAGATACTGGGCAGTGACAGTGAGCTTCAGTTCACAGTCAGCTATGAGACCATAATGGTAAACAACCCACGATATACAACGTACTACGTTGCTTGCATTTATTCAGATATTGTGTTTTGTGATTTTACATCCCATCATGTCTTCAATAAGTACATAAGATAGTCAACACTTTATTATAAAATAGGCATTGTGTTAGATGATTTTACCCAAATGCAGGCTAATATAAGTGTTTTGAGCTGTTTAAATTAGAGTAGGCTAAGTTATGATGTCTGTAGATTTACTACTACATGTAGTTTTCACTAATGATATTTTCAACCTACCATGGGTTAATTGGAATGTAATATCATTTTAAGTTGAGGAGCATTTATATTTATCTGCCTGGGGTTGTCAGGCTCTGAGAAAACTCCTATAGGCTACACTCTCATAAAACAGTTTGTCCTGCTACCAGGCCTTGCTAAAAACAGAATGCTCTAACGTATTTCACAATGTTTACTTCTCCCTTCCTCCTGCTGGAACCACGGAAGAATCTTTCTCCAATATTCACTATGAGGTTCCTCATGGATGGAAAATTCACAAAAGTATAGAGTCCTCCACTCCTTTACTGTGTCCCCCTGAAGTTTTAAACTCTCAGACTTGACCAGTTTGAGTGTGTAGTAATTCATCAGTGACAGCGCTGGGTTTCTCACCTCAGCTCTTGTTCTCTGGAGGTTTCAGTTCCTGGGTTTCTGCTCTGATCAGCCGGCCTCACTATACTCCCCTGTCTGGCTCTCCAACTTGAGGGTCAGTCGTTTGCCCTGTGACCTCATTTTTTTTTTTCACACAAAATCAAGAAGAGCTGTTTATTCTGTTTTTCACTGCTGTTAGGACACAGTGGCAATTTCTAAACTCCTTATATCTTGACAGGAAACTGGTGACCTGTTAAGACTTTTTCATTTTTATGTTTTTCAGAGTTTCTTATGTAGCTTTTATATGTAGTATGATCTTAGAGACTTTTGGTAAACCTTGTTGAACATTCTTGGTGGTAAATTTTACTCACAAGCACTTTCTAACCACTAAACACTTTTTTTTTTTCAGTGATAGGAATTGAACCCTGGGTGCTCCAGCACTGAGCTACATTCCCAGCCCTTCTTAAACATCTTTTTGCAAGACAAGTCCTACTAAGTTGCCCAGGCAAAAGTTGAACCTGTGATCCTCCTGCCTCAGTTTCCCAGGTTGGTATTATAGGCATGCACTATTGTGCTTGGCTCACCAGATACTTTTTAAAGTTTATGTTTTACATAGTAATCTCACTTAAACCTTACTAGAACTCTATTTCTGTTCAATACATAAATAAGATGAAACACAGAGTTTACATATTTTCCCACAAAAGACTATGGCCAGTGAGTAGTGGAAACAAAACTCAAACCCAGGAAGTTTGACTTGAAAACATTTGTGACACCTTGCTCTTTTACCTGCCAACTTCAAAAAATATCAATATTTTGAACTGATTTGATTAATCATAAAAAGTCAAATAGTCCAATAGATTATTTCTCATTCCACTTATTGTGTACTCTGCCAATATACATCAGGATACCATGCACACATTTGAAATTACTGAAGAGAAAATGATTTTTGAGTATACACTCTTATAGATCACTGTAAGAAGAGGATTATGTTTTCAGGTAGTTTCCATAGAAGCTAAAGTTTATGCAGAAATTATATGAAAATATTCACCAATCAGAAGGCATTCCTCACCCTGCCAGAGATATTCCACAGTGGCTAAAATAAATCTAGTGCTGGGAAAAGACATGTATATTCCTATGAATAGAAACAAGCCCTATACTTTCTATGACAAATTAGAACCAAGTCTCAAATAAATATGACTGTAACGGTTCTAATGTCTTAAGCCAACCTAAGTTGTTCCAATTCTGTTATGTTTACACTGAGGTTCGTCATCAATAACAGACAAGCCAAAGATAATCGCTACCAAAGAGCAATGCTAGCTACACCAGCAAACATTCATCTGTGTGCCAAGTGGCCATTGCTTGGTCTGCATTCAGATTTCACTGCACAGTTCTCTTCTCTTCGTAGAACCATGGCTTAGCTGCACCACTCAATTGTTCTCTTTTTCTGAAAACTAATTCAGAGTTGAAAGTTTAAAAATATTCTGATTCTGGAATTTATTCTGATAGGTGCTATGGGTTAATATTTATAGACTCTCTCCTAAGTTCCAATGTTGAAACCCAATTCCCATTGCATTGAGAGTGTGGACTTTGAGGAAATTAAATCAGGGAGGATGGAATATTTATGAATAGGATTAATATCCATATAAAAGAGGCCAAGTCCGGGGCTTCTTTGCCTTTTATCCATAAAAAGATGCTGGAAGAAGGCATCATTTATGAAGCACAGAGTAAGCTTTCACCAGATATGAGGTATGCTGGTGCCTGATGCTGAACTTGTAGCCTCCAGAACTGTGAGCAATACGTTTTTGTGGTTTATAAATTACTCAATCCAAGGGAGAACTATTTTGTTACAGTAGCCTGAGCAGACCACTAGAGCAGCTTTGGGTTACACAAACAACATGAACAGAAAGGTAACATCCCTGTAGGTGCTATAAATATGCTGTTTCATTGATCTAGTGAGCATCCTGTGATGATTAGTCAGCACTAGGAGAGTTCACATCATCAGGTAAACTTTTTGTCTCACTCCATCCTTATGTGGCTGAGAAAGGTATCATACTTCAGCTAAATTTGTACAATGAGAAAACATGTCTCTCAAGAGCAGAGGTAATATACATGAGAATTTCCCCTCAACAAATCCATTCAGTATTCCTTAATGTTATATTAAAGCAGATTATTTATGTCTTGAAACACGAGAGCTAAGCTCTTTTTGGTTTAGTGAACTTGTGGGTGATAAATTTCTAATGGATTATGGACTGTTTTGTTAGTTATCTTTTTAGTATAGTGCTGATTTGTCTTTCACTCATTCCTTGGCAGTGCACATCTGCTCTAGGTTGGTTCTAGTACAAGTATCCCACTGAGAGCCTATGATGGCAGTACTGCATGCTAAGTATAACCACAGGGGATCTCAGAGAAGAGAATGGTCAACAATGATTTTTGGAGGTGGTCAGAGGAGGTCCTTGACAGGCAAGCACTGAGGGCCACTATATATCCCTAGCAGAACCAAACATCAGGATGGTTGAATTGCTGGTCTCTTCTAGTTAGACCCTTTCTTTCCTAGAAAGTATTTCATTAATTCTGCAGGCCTGTAAAAGGTCTGTTGATGGTGCATATATTTGTCTTTAGATTATTCTAAACATAGTTCACATGTCAAATTTTGTTTACTAAGGGCAGGACGAGAAAAGTGAGCCTTCCAGGATTAACATATTCTCAATTACTGTCTAGTAAGGGAATGTTTGGACAAGGACTCCCTGGAGAGTACTACGGATCATATACTGAACAATCCAAAGGGACAACACTGCTAACAGAAGCATGGTAGAAATGAATATTCTTCATGCTGTCAAATGGCAATGAAAATTTTGGCTTAACAAAAGTGGTTATATTGGATGACTTCTGAGAGATGTATATAAAGCATTTTGAGGGAAAGATACCTTTTTTTCCTAATTCATTCAAAGCTACTCTATGGACTACCAGCTTCCCTGTTTTCTTGTTCATCCCAAATATTACACTTGCTTCTGCCAGATGTAGGGAGGAAGCTATACCCAGTGACCTCTATCACTAGTACACTTACCCTTCAGGGTTGCCCCACAGATGTCCCTAGAGCAAATGATAACAACCCTGGAGGATGAGGAGGAAGTGAGAGACCAGTGGCTGGGAAAGAAATATTACTCAGGATGTCTTCCCCCCATCACTTGCTCCAGGCGTCTTTCCTCCCTCACCAAGGTAAGAGTTCTAAGGTCCATGGCTTCTCTGCCTGAATCTGCAGGGCAACTTCCTATGATTTTATTTCCACTGATGTCTCCAGCAGCAAATCAGGCAGGACACCCTAACCAGATGATACAGTGCTTGACCTAACACTCTTCAGCACAGCAATGTTCTCAGACACTGACAGCCCAGCAGAGTGTTAGGTGTAAAGAAGATATAGAAATAACTGTCACTGCATAAAGGGAATGAATGCAATTACTAGGCAAAGTGCACTTTTGGAACAACCGGTTGATTTCATTTATTTCTGACTTCACTGTAACCCATTATAAAGCAAACAGTAAGGGAAAATGGACTCTTACACAAAGCTTGTGTCATTTCTGTTCTGTGTCCATTTTGTTTCTCCGAGTAAGAGATGGTAGGTGCCATCAGGAATTTCATTTTAAAGACTGATCAGAGGAAATGGTTTAATTAGAAAGAAAAATGACAAAACATTTAATTCAAAGAAGTCAAAGATGTTATGTATGGAGGTGAAATAAAAATTTAAAAATGCAGGAGTAAAATAAAAATCAAAGAAAGTCATCTCTACTCTGGGCAATCTGAAAATTTCCTCATACAGATAATGATGGAAGTAACTTGCTTACCTTATAGTTGTTCATGATTTCAGTTAGCCATGGCTTAACTGATTTCACTGAATCTTCTCGCAAGTTTTTTTCAACTTCAGCTCCATCACTGAAGGTCCGATTTCCTACGTGGATAGCTTGTCTCACTTCTGGGAGTGACAAAAATTTTCCAAAGTAACTTTGGTCCTCGGGGTCCTAGTAGAGGTACATTGGAAACACATTAGAGCTCATGAGCATCATTCTGCATCAGGAGAAGCTTAGAATTTCTCATAACACATAGCATAGTGCATAAGATGTGACATGACTATTGTCCACAGTCTTGAAATTTTAACTGGGAGGCTTTGAGGTGATTTAAGCAAGATTCTTTTATTATAAATAAATTTGAATGATGTGATACTCTTGCAGCTGATTCCAATTTGCAAATGCTGAACTTTCCTGTTCAGAAACTAATCTTTTGCAATTTATGACTACAATTAGAAAATCCCTTAGAGGCAAAGATAGGGAAAGGAGGTGAATTGGTGGCTCCTTGTTGGTTGCTTTACAGCAAGGTCAAGTCCACCTCAAGGGGCCTAGGGTGGGTGTTGGATCAAAAGTAAAAAATTTCTTTTGCATGTTCTGCTGATTATTAAAGTCATACAAAAATATCAGCTGGCTATAACTTAAAGGGGAGAAATATATCAGCCATAAAAACAGATGACATTTTATGAAGGAGACATGACCAAAGAAATTTCTCCATGAGTCTTATTTTTAAAAAAGCCACTCCATAAATACCTTGTAAATAATCACTATGCAGAAATTAAAAAAGGAATAAATGCTTTAAAAAACTTTAAGTTACAAAAGGACAAAAAAAAAGTGAGCCTCTGAATTCAACAATGTTGTACTTCATCAACAATTTTTGTTAACTGTGAATATATTACTTCATAGAGAAAAAAAATACAATCACAAATTTAGTTTCTTTCTTCCTTAATACATGGTCTGCTCTTGGTGGAACATAATCTAAAACCACAGAGTTGGCAAATTCCACTGGAACTGACCATATTTTATTTACAAATAGTTCATACATGAGGCAATTTTAAAAATTGAATGTATTGTCAAATGCACTTGACAAAGATTATGCAAATCCAAACTCCTGCTTTGGTTCCTTTTCTCTTATTTGATTAGTTCTACATAAAAGACATCAACTTTGGCCTGCTTTTATGGAAGAAACTACTTGAATACTTTAAGAAATATTCCCGAAGGCTTGAAGTGAGGCCATACTAAATGCACTAAATATCTCAAGTTAAAAGTAAGACAAAGCAAATATTTTAATAAATGCAGTGGCAGCTTTGATTATCCAAGCCATCTTAAGTACAGAACAAAGAATGTAGGCATTTGTAAAACACTCATAACCAGGCTTGAAACTGAGACCTGATCACCTTAGGGCTGCAGTTCTGGCCTGCCCCTTCTTTGTGAAGGGACCCTCCACATAACAAGCTTTTGGTGGAGAGGAGGAGTGTGCTAGGTTTATCAGCAATTCTTCTGTATTACCTGGAATATCACTTTCTCTATGACCAGATGATAATGTATACAACATTGGTGATGACTAATCACCAAATCAAGCACTGAAGTTTGGACATATCTGTTTGGTATTAAATCAGCTATAATATTTCCCAAATCAGAGAAAGCTTGGTTTTGCCACAAGTTTTAAGCCAACATTACTAAGGTCTTTAACATGTCATTACCGTGCACTGTAAAAGGTTATAGTAACTAGTACATCCTGTCACATTCTGGAAGAAAGAAGGCTCACTTGTTAAGTCTCCAACTAACAGTGCATCCAGTACCTAGGTTGCAAGAGAAGAAGAAAGAGAAGAAAAATATCAGGAGGGCAAACACGCATGGGCATTTGTCATTTCATTTGGTCAGAAACTTTTCATCCCTTGTTTCATTCACCAAGCATTTATTGCACATTTCTGTGTGAAATGCTGTCCTGGACATTAGGGAAACTTCAGTTAACAAGACAGACCAAAATCCTACCTCTTGGGATGTTATATGCTAGGGTGAGATGATAAACAAGCATTACTAGGCAATATAGGTAATAGGTAGTAGGTTAGAGAGTGATAAGGAGGACTGTCATAGAAGGTGTATACACGCACGTATAGGGGACACTGCAGACAGGCTGTATTACTTAGAAAGTAGCATTTGGAAAGAAGCAAGTCATACAGAGAACTAGGGAAAGAATATTCCAGGTGGAAGAAACAGCAAGCCTAGAGCCCTTGAGGGTGGGAATGAGCCTCAGGGAAAAGGTTGCCTTAACTTGAATCATGGACCCACAATATGAGGAGGGAGGACAGAGGATGTGGGCCTAGATGCAGGGGCTTGATGCTAGTAGATCTTATCTACAGGCTGCTGTCATGGAAAACTCAGGCTCAGAAGAGGGTGTGAGCGGGGTCAGCAGGCCTGTGTGCATTCCTCCAGCCACATAACATCTTTGCAGGGTCAGGGAGGAAGTGGCAGCAAGGTGGATTTAACTCGGATTATGATGTAGCCAAAGGAGATGGAGGAAGAGTGAAGGGGCTTAAAGGTCAGGAATGTATGACCTTGGGTGTAAGTTAGAGAAAAGATTTGAGGTGATGGTAAGGCAACAAGATCAACAGGTTGAAAAGGAACAGGTTACAGGACTGTTAGAGTTGGTTTCTTAGCACAAGTAAGCTGAAGAACAGAAGGTAGCAGCTGGTGGTTTTTATGTTTGTTTTGATTCTTGTAATGGAAATGTACAGCTAAAATGAGAGGTAGAACATGAGCACTGAAAAACAGAAAGCTAAGGAACTGGGGAATTAAATATTAAAAGAGTCGTCCATGCAGATACTACAGTCAGCAGGAATCATGACACGGGCAAGGCACTTAAGAGTGACAGTGAGGCAGGAGTTAAACTAGACAGAAGGAGTGATCCGACACTGGTATATAAGCAATGTAAGAAGTGATGGAAGACATGACTTGAGAAGCTCAGTGCTTTATGAGGCACAATGAGAAGCAATGAAGACACTACGACTATCCCTGTGAGCAAGGTGGGAAAAGAAGGTAAGCGAGCACAGTCCTTACCTGGCACTCCTGCAGGGGAAGCAGTGTCATCAGTTCAGAGCAACGTTAGGGAGATCAAGAAGATGAAGAGAATAGTTACAGAAAAGAACAAGGATCTGGGCAGTGTGTGTGTGTGTGTGTGTGTGTGTGTGTGTGTGTGTGACATTAAGTTGCAAGGAGTTCTTGTGAAAGGACTTTAAAAAATGAATTCAGGACATTTAAACAAATCATCAAGCATGAATTTAGGTTTCTCATAAGGTATTGTGATACTAATTTTAGGGAAGGAAACTGAGACACACGGATGTTAAGTAATTGGCCCAGGACACCCCACTGATAGTGGCAGAAAGACTAAAGCATCATCTGCTGTCAAACAAATAAAGTGGGTGGTCCAGACCCATGAAGTTCAGTTTCTGGGTATCACTTATTTCACAAGAACACTGTAATCCAGAACACTGTCCCCAGAAGGGAGATAAGATATGACCAAGGAGCAGCCATTGTGCAAAATCTCTAAGCTATAACAGAATTTTTATAGAATGTCTAAAAACTACAACACTTCAATTCATTGCACCTCTATGGGCCCCCAAATCTCACAGTAAAATGTGGGCACATGTGTGTATTACCTTTATATCTCCAGTCTCTTCTACTTGTGAATTACTGCTTTTTAATTAATGAAATGTTAAAGTACCAGAGCATCAAACAGGTTCAAGATTTTAGCATATGTATTCTTTTTGACTTCAGGATTTCTTGGAGTCTTTCACTACAGATAATACAAACATATTTCAGCCACTGGTTGTTTACTACCCTATTATTCTTCCCCACTTTCCTTGAAAAATCAAAGGTCTGTATGTTTAAATTCATGACTCAAGATATTGGACCAGTGATCAACAAGACCCCAAGCCTTGAAGGTTTTTAGTATTTTTGTTGTTGTTATTGTTTTTTATGAATCTGTTTTGGGACAGACTTCATTTAATCTCCTTGGCCATATTTTTGTTATTTTTGAACATTTAAAGACTAAATCTTTTCAACAGTTTTCCTAATCCAATGGGTTTCTAGGCTTCTATCTCATACACCACAGTCACCTTTCCTTCTTCTTACCTTCAGGCTTCTCAAATATTCTTGCTCTTGACACTGCTTAATCTTTATATGCTTCTTTAAAAACATATTCAAATATCTCACCTGCAAATGGTGTCATGCCCCCTAAAATTTGGTATTAATTCTAAAGGTTTGATCTTTGTCCCTATCTCTGCCTCCAATAGCAGAATGTCTAAAACCAATCTTGAAAATAATGTCATTGCAAGCTGGAGCAAATCTATATGTCTCCTCCAAGATCCTTCATCCTTTGTGTATACAACAGCAGAAGAAACTTTTGCTGTACACATAGAAGCCACATCTGGTGTCCTGACACAGAAAGGAGGGCCCACTGGAGCCCTTGAGGATAGCAGGGACTTCCCTCGCTCAATCCACTTTTGCACAGCTTTCTGCCATCAGAATTCTGAGCAAGGGCAGCCACTGCCGTGGGGAATTTCAGGCAGTGTCCTGAAAAATGAAGCATACTTGTAAAATGGAGAGTAACTTCAAGTTATTTCCTCTCTCTCCCAGTCTGTACTTCTCCTATTGTGAACCGAACCAGAGGGTCAGCAGTATCCAGAAGACTACTGCCACCAGGCTTCTGCCTAAATAACCATCACAACTGTAGGTAAACATGCTGTGATAGCATGTATGTCTACTAACAAGCAGATTCAAGTCCTCAAAATTTAGTCCTTGTCTCATTTACCGATGTGTCAAACAGAATGACTCTTTAGTAAACATAGCAAGCCACTCCTCAGGAAGATTGTTTTAGTATGGCTTTTTTTCTGCACCGGACAGAAACATTCAACTCTCTTTATCCCAGTATTTATTATCCTCTTATATTTTGTATAACCAAGAGAGAAGATCAAAGAGTGAAAAATATAACCATATTATCAGATTCTCTAATTTAATTTTAGGACAGCAATGTAACAACATTCACAAATACCAATGGCTCTTCATAAAAGTTTCAAATCACCACACTTAATAATCTTTGCTCCTAATATACAGGAACTTGTGACACTTGCTGCCCACCATGGTCACTTTTCCAGCTGAACCCCTTTTGTGAACATGACCCTTCTAGCTGGTTTAGAGCATATGTTCTGCATAGACTTCCCAGGCCGCCTCTCTTTTTATTTCCATATGATCGGGTGTGCCTTTAGGTCCTACAGCTTTTAAAGAAATCTGAACAGTTAATGAAAGGCACAGTTAGATAAACACTCCAATACGATTGCAGGTTTCAAACACAGCTAAAGTAAATTCCAAGAAATGCAGACAGTTCTTTTCTTCATTATGCATCCACTCATCTCCTCACTGTTCTGACACAGGAGAACAGATATTCCTTCTCTCACACAGAAAGGCTTGAGCACCAAAGTGCTTCTACTGACCGCCCCTCTCCTCAGCTGGTTCTAATTGCTCAAGGGCAGCACAGGGCCCCAGGACTCACTTCAAAGGCCTTCAGCCAGTTCTGCTCCTTGATGTGTTTTACGCACTCATCACACTGCTTCTGGAAGTAGTTTTTCTGCTTCTCATCCAACAAGCCAATTTCATACAGGAACGCTGCATAGCCCCCAACAATCTGAAGACAAAAGAGACATGTACAAATGCCAGAGAGAGAGAAAGATGGAGGGTTGGGAAACTTATTTGAATTAACCTTTGTAATTGTCAATCTTGTGCTGGATTTGGCCAAGTATGACAAGTACACACACGCACACTGCAAAACACACAAGTTTACACCTGTGCCAGCACATACACAGTCACAGACACACACACACATATACACACTCTTGCACTCACATACAAGTAGGCTGTCACAGAAGGGTGACAACTTCTATGACATAAAGTTGAAGATTTAAGTCATAAAGGCATCAGATAACTGCCCCTTATTAAGTAAGGCCTGTAAGGTAAGAGTGTTCATGTGATCAAAAAGGATATAATATCTCTAAGAGACAAGAGGGAAAGAAAATTCAAGATACCCACTGATTCAGGATCAGAATATCCATCTCCAAGAGCAATTCCTTTCAGGTGGATCTTGAACTCCCGCACAGGGTTGAGAGAGTGGATATAGTGTGCAATGGCTGGCACATATTTTCCTGCATAAGACTGAAAAGGACAGAATTAGCATGGACAGTCACAAACCAGGGTCAGTACAATTATATGTCCTTAAGGTAATTAATAACAGTGACACAACAATACTTCCATATGAGGTACCATCTCCTACTAACCTTCACACCGCCAGTTCCACAGTAGCAAAAAGCTCTGATTCTCACTTCTTTTGTCATACCCAATAGCATCCATTGACATATAAGTCATAGCTTAGGTACACCCGAAATAGCATTTAATAAAAGTCAACATTTTAACTTCCTTCCAAAATAAAATGATGTAAGACAGTGAACACAATTCTTGCATCTGTTGGGCTTTTCTTTTTCTTTTCCTCTTGGTACCAGGGATTGAACTCGGGTACTTGCACTTGCCAGGCAGGCACTGGCACCACTGAGCTAAATCCCCAGCCCTGTTGGGCTTTTCTTAACAGAAAGTTCCCATTCAAACTTTATTAAAGGGAAAGAAAACTTGTCTAAACATCTATATAATGATACAAATTTTGAAATAATATATTTTAAAGGAATAGAAGAAGAAACAAAATAATATTTATTGGCCACTGAAATTTTCACTTGAATTTATCTCTGTTCCCAATTTTTTTTGCAGCACAAGGTCCTTCTTCCAAGGTCAAAATATTTTGTGAATATCCTTTCCCCTAACAAACATGATAATAGTTCTTTTAGACTATGCTGAAAAAGTGCTACAATTGACCCAGTAATATTTTAAAAGCAGTTTTGTATTTTTCCCATCAAAAGTTGCCTTTTTAGCAACTCACATTGTATGTCTGATACTAAATTTCCTATGCTCAAAATGAAGGTTCCAATTCCCAAGCTTTCCTGAAGTCTTCCCTTCAATTCATGTTAACTTGGTTCAGATTTTTCAGCTCAAAAATCTTGCTGTCAATTCCTTATACCTATTCCTTTCTCTTGCATCCCACAAAAGCCCACCAGCCAAGCTTGCCAACTCTATTTATTCTATCAGAATGTGTCCACAGTATGTCATTTCCTGGCATCCTCACTCCATTACTGGCTCTGGGCACCTCACTGCTTACACTTGATATTAGCCAAAAGGCTGAGAAGTGATACCTTGCTGTTTAAATGTCTTAGCGACTTCCCAACCACTTTACAGTAAAGCAAAGGGCTTTTCTGGGGCATAAGGCTGACATAAGCCTTGCTCTGTTCCACTTCATCCACCACTACCTTCTTGCTTATTTCTCCCTATTGCTACTTGCTTTCAGACTGTTCTTTACATATTCCAAGCATGTCTACCACTGTGTTCCCTCCACTGGAATGCTCTTCCTACAGATATCCATATAGTTCATTTTCTCACTTGCTTAAGTGAGCCCTTCTGAGAGATGCATCCTATCTAAAATCAAATATCCCTTCTTCCCTATTTGTATACGCCCCTTCTCTCCTTTACATTCCCGTAGTCCTTATCACTCTCTAACAAATTTATGTTTATTTATCTTGTGCATTATTATTCTTCCATCCAACCTAGAAGATCCCTGAATATAGGGCTATGCAACTGTCTCATTTATATCCGCTGTGCCTGATGCTATTTGTTAGTGCACAATACACAGCTTTCAAAGGAATGAACCTACATGCATCTCATAAAGTGCATATGTGTTGAAGACGGATTATAACCCTCATTTGGGTACCTTTGAGTGCACAGACCCTTTACACTGTCTCCAGGGTTCTCCAGAGGTCTGTGGTTCAAAGAGTGGGAACCCCTGAGAGGTCTTAGTTAATCCATATCAGAGCCACATGTTGGAGACACCACTACGCACATTTCAAAATAGGAAATCAGGAAGTGAGGGAGCAGACCATACTTGGTCTGACCTACTACAAAATTTAAACTCCTTCCAAGTTAATAATGAAATAATATAATTTATACAAGATCTCCTCATTGATGCAGTCCTCTTATGCAATAATAAAATTTTAGGCAAAATATTGAATCAAATTACTTCATTCATTCATACTCATAAATATGTTTTAACTATAAAGATGTATTTATATAGAGGCCAGGGATTTAGCTCAGTGTTTCCACTGCCTGCCTCTCAAACCAGAGTTTGATCCCCAGTACCAAAAACAAACAACAAACAAACAAAAAGATGTGTTTATATATCTAAAACTTGACTTTCTGCATAATTATGGTATGTTTTCTTGTTAGTGGACATTTGTCAAATAAAATTTCTGCAAGATACAAAACAGCACACTTTGAGTAATTATTTCATTGGTAAAGAACATATTATATAGTCTTTATTCAATGGTGGCTTATTGGACAACTCTTGTAAAAGGCATTAATGGTAGATACTTGAGAAGTCACAAAAATGAATAAGGCACAAAAGTTACCCTTGTAAAGCTCACAGTGTCTTTTGAAAAACACATTATGGAAATTTTGTCTCAAATGTGTTGAAGCAAAGTTTACCAATCATGAATTATTATTCCCACAGAGTATATATTACCCAGCACAGTGTAGGTACATGAAAACATACTTGATAAGTGACTCACCTGATTTTCTCTATTGGAAATTAGTGTAAATGCTAAAAAGTTTATCTTTTAGTGACATTATCTCAGGTTTTCTTAGGGTTAGGCCTAGTAATGAAATACCTGCCTTCATTCTTTCTGAGATAGAGGGTATACACTTGAAATCACTATGCAGATAGTGATACAAATTTAGCCTAAGGCATCTACAATTTTATAGCCCCCTTCTTCCGGTGACCATCATGTGCACCTGGGCTATGACCAGAAAGAGCGCTGACTTTTAAGCATCTACTGTGAACCAGGTTATTTCATGTAGTTTAATCTGAGTCCATTTACAGTAAATATTATTTTCCTAAATTTTACAATCACGAAAATAAGCAAGTCTGTGCATTTCAGTCATGTGCCTAATATGAATTCAATCTACAAAACTGTCATTTTTCATATAAAATCATTCTCAGTTCAGGAACGCACCATGGGTTTCTTATCCTCCACACAGGGATCCAATGTTGCTTTTATCTATTCTTTGCTTCTAAGCTGACCATATATGCAAAACAAGACAATTAGATGGCTAAGTCTATAATCACTTCCCCAAACAGATTCTTTAATATTCAGTCCATGTCTGCTAACCTAACAGTGATAATACTTACCTCATTTTCCTACTTCTAGTGACAATCACACACTTTCCTGCTTTGTGTCAGTGTGACAAATCCTTCATTGCTTTTTTCATTAATCATTCCATTGGATGAGTGACTCAGGTTGTCACATGGTAGGCAATTATAGGATTACTTTTTGGAAAACAGACATAAAAATATTGTAACAAAATTTCAATTTTCACCATCTTTGTTGAGATATCTTTTTGTTTGAAAAACCAGGCTTATTCTTTCTGAAATTTTTATTTCTCAATTTAACAATCTCTGACCACTGCAAGTATGGCAAATGATAATCAGATAATAAATCAAGTATATTTTACCTAGTTTTCCCCTCTGTATTTATTTTAAAAGAGAGTTGAACTCCATATTTTAGGGGGAAGATTCAGATGTAACACTTTTACAAATTAGAAGTAGTCTCTGTGGTCCCTTAGGCTTAGCCCTGTGATCTTGTGTTTTTGAGAACTATTGCTCCTTTTGTTCTGAGTTCTGTCCTTAGTGATGACAACAGTAACCACAGCTGGAATTCTCAGTACCGCCATTTCTCTGACCTCCTGCTGGTGTTCACCAATGTGGGCAGCAGCTGGTAAACGAAGTTTATGAATTAACACTAACATCAGATTAGATCTTGGACTCTTTCAAAGCTCAGAGCAACATCAAAGCAATTATAAAAGGAAAGAGATAAAGTGAGGCCAGAAACTACCCGACATTTTAGACTTCGGCAGTGAAATTCAAATAAAGAATTTAGCCAGATAAATACATGTATCTTACAGGACAATCCAAGTGTTATCAATTGATATATCTGGATTTTAATCTCCCCTTATTATTTCTAATATTTAAAGGAGCTTCAAAGCTGCCAATTCTAGCACTGCTCTTGTTTGGTTAATTTTTCCCATTGTGACCATATTTGAGCAAACCTCCAACAAGAAGAAGCGGAGATATTAATGTGTATTTGTACAAACTTGTATTTTCTGGAGTTTAAATAAGCAGCAAACCTCAAATTTTCCTACTATATCGGAAGGATTTCAGAATTCAGCTCTCGATCTTTTATTTCCCCCATGAGAAAAAGGACTCAACATCATAGTGGAATAGTAGTTTTGAATCTTGGTCTGCAATCTTTCTAAGTACTTAAATGTTTGGAACAGCCTAATGGAAATCATGTGAAGAGCATATTGTACTTGTAAAAATAGTCTAGAGAGAATGTAATGCTTGGTTAATTATCCAGATGTGTAAAAGTACAATGAAATTAGACTTAAAGAAACTTGTAATTGTGTATTCCATTTGAATTTTTCCCTTCCTACATGTTTCAACAACATTCATAGCTGACTTCCTATACCCCTGCCACCCAGTTACTTTTCAGAGAGGAAAAAAGATTCCATATCTAAAATCAAGCTTTAACCCACTCCTCCAGAAGGAAAAAAAGTCAGAGAATAATATTACAATGGAAACAAAGTCCTCTGACAGAAATTTCACATATGTTTGCAGTTACTATTGTTTAAGCTATTCTCAGTCAGCTAAATTTCTTATTGAAGTTTAACAGAAAAAAAATACACAGTTATAGTCAAACTCTGCCTTGCTTCTAGGTATACATTTCATGGTAAAACATGCAAAACTTTATCAGTGACTAGAGCAATGGCTTTGGAAAAGATGCACCTAAGCCTGGCATGTCCCCATCCAGAGTCAGACCTTAGTTTCTAACCTCTGCCTGGCAGAAAGTGTGAACAATGGATTTCAGCATCAGCAATGGTGCGTGGAGGGCCCTGAGAGTCATTGAGCCCCTTGCCTTGTTCTGGCCTGACTTGCTCAGCCACTCACTGGAATGATGCTTCTTTGAAAAATTTATGCCTGGGCCTGTGAGAACTCCTCCACATCA